CTCATGAGGGGCAAAGGGAGTACAAATATCGGTTTCATTGACAACTCTTGGCCTTTTTCTCTGACCGCTGGGTCGAATTGAAGTCCATAGAGAATTTTGTCGTAGCTTCCCGCGACGATGGTCAGTCGTGTTGGACTCGGTTTTTTATCTGATCCATTCACAGGTTTCGATACAGTCACAGGTTTCTCTTTAGGAACAGGCTTTGTTTGGGTCACCTGGATCTGTTCGAGCTTGACAGACTTTTGAACCTTCTTCTTTGTCTCTTTAAGAGGTTGTCCGTTCGACGAAGTGGATGCTAGAGCCCTTTTCTTGGCGACCACGTCGATTTTTACCCTTCTTTTCTTGAGTGGTCGGGGATCCGACATTATGGGTGGCGTCTGAAGAGAATGGTCAACTTCGACCAGACCTTGGACCTGAATCGCCGTGGTAGTCTGATCATGAGGCATCTGACGCCACTCGTTCATCTACAGGCGTATTATTTGATTTACTCAGACTCATGATCAGACCTGTAATCAGCCCGCCTCAATAGAGCCTGACTCTCTGCCCATATTGTCAGGCTCGACCGCCCCTATCTCTATATAAGTTGGCCCAATTTTGAACCAAAAAGGCGCTCAAAAGTCAACTTGTAAGCATAAACATGTCTTTGTTCACCAATCTTGTCCCTACGCCTCTCAAGACGTTGGAAAAGCCCACGGATACGCCTCATGCGGCACTGGACTCTATATCCACCGTTGGGTCCCACTCTTGGATGGAAATAGATGGAAAGCCTACTCTAGCTATTCCAGGCAAGTTACCCTTTTTGGTCAGTCTCAAAGTTTTTCGACTGACGATAAGATTTTAGGTCGTCCTCCGAAATGGATGGAGCCTAGGTTTCCTTTAAGAGTCCCAGCAGACAAAGGAACTCAGTATATCGATCATAACGGTGCCAAATGTGAAGAGGCGGATGCGCACCGTCTCGCACCTGTCATTCAATCCGTCGAACAGTGCAGTCCCAATTTTGACTTCAAAAATGTCAATTTGATCTGTAATCGAAACAACATCCGGAATCTTCTCCGTTGGCTTGAAGGGACTTTAAAGAAGGATTTCCGGATCGACATGCATTTGGTGAACGATGGCAAGACCATCGTGATGCAAGAATACGAATTGAAATGTACAGAAGACATCGATCCGATTGTTCAATTTAGAGGATTTGGGGACAACTTTCGTGCCAGGGTGACCACGAACGCGATTGGACAGAGTAGACATAATCGTATCATCAACTATGTGAGCTTCTTTCTCTCTATGACAAAAATTAGCTAATGTCCCTACTATCAGAAACTTGGACAGTTTAACGTCTTGATGGCGCACAAGGTTGAAGGATATGTTACGAGGCACCAGGTTATCAAGGATGATCTAGAGGATGAACTTGACAGTCTCACGTCAGCTCTCAATACAGTCCGTTTAACTGGGGCATCTTCTACTGGTACTATTCCAACGAGTTCCGAAGGGGCTCGAGTAAATGTCCAACAGACAAGTGATGGGTTCCGAGAGTATGGCTTTGTGGAGATCAAGACCATGTCTGGCTGGAAAGAGATCGACTGGAAGGAATGGTATCCACAGCTTTACCTGTCGCAGACAAAATATCTATACGTCGCGCGTCACACACGTGGGACATTCGATAAGATGGAAAAGTTCAAAGTCACGGATCCAGAGGTCGAAAAGATCTACAAGGAAAAGATGGAGGATTCTCTCGGAAGACTCTTAGAGTTCCTTCGCCGACTCTTTGCTGCAGCCAAGAGATCCGGAAATGGACCTTGGGCCCTCGTGTGCATTGACGGCCGACTTATGCTACACGAATCTAGAGAGGAGCCACTTCCTTCATGGATTCTTGGACATTTCAAGTAACCGGCGTTCGTTACCATATGTCACCATAATTAGGAACTCGCCGGTGTGTGCATATGTCCTTGACGTGAATTCGATGTCTTGTAGCCTTTTATAAATATATACATTTCCCATATCCCGGGAGCCGTTCGATCAATAAGCCTATGCGTGTGACTGGACCCTTGATGGGAATAAGCTCGAAAGAAGCTAGAGGAACCTGATTGTGCAACGCCACCCGTGACTCGTGTTCACCTCACTTGATACTGAGTTGGGGATTCAACATGACGAAGGCGACTTGATCCTCCCCACAATCACTTCTTGGATATCACCGATGGTAACGAGGACCGTCAAGGATAAGACAGACAAGCAAGCACGACGAAAGGGCGCATCGAAAGCGGCGGGCAAGCTTCGAAATAGAAAGCGTCCAAAGGTGCCAACTCCAGGCTCCGACTTGTTAGAGCCCTGGCAGCAGCGGCTGAAGGCAGAGACGAGGGAAAATGACAAATGGGACCTCAAAGAGATATTCTGGACAGAGGAAGACAAGTTCCAAGTCGGTACGTGAATATCCACAGAGTAGGGGCCAAGTTGTATTCAGCCTTTCCTC